GCTCGTCAGCCTTACACAGCCCGCTATCCTTTAGGGAATACTGTGGTCTGTTCCTCCTTTACCTGGACGGTAACACGACACACACACGACTACAGCATTACGCTTTTCCTTCACATACACCCTTCCAACTGCGTTCCGCGTTCTCTTGCCTTCCGTCGTCTGGTTTCTACCAACACTAACTCAATTAGGCACAGTCCGTCGTGTTCAGTCATTCGTAGAATACATTTCTTCCTCGGCTCGAGACACAGCGTATTAAATTGCTTACGATCGACGGCTCGCACGCGACTGGGTACGCTCGTCCGAGGGTCGCTGACCGATATGTGTTGTAGGGCTCAATCGCCTTGGTCCGCGGTGCGGGTTCTTACTCCCTGCGTCATGTCAAGAGACAACCGAAAACAAACAGAAAGAAAAAACAAAACAAAACAGAATAGAACAAAATAAAAACAAAAGTAGTGGGTTACTGTGGTCAGTGGGTAAGTAAGTCCTCGATGAGGACGATGGTCATGTAAAAGTACGTGGTACAAAACAAGCACGTGTCTTGTTCGGTCTTCAATCTTAGCAGATCGACGGCGAACGTCCCCTGTGTGTGCCGTCGGCTGCGGGCGACAGCAACAAAAAAATTATTTCAGATTAAATTGCTCTCCGAGGACGGGACACTGATCCCGATTGTCATTTCACGTGCATCCGTCGATGCCGGGGGTGTGTCTTCCGGTAGGTTCAATGCCTCGTCCGGGGGCACAGTATCACTTCAATTCCCTAAAACGCGTCGCTCGTCAGTCCCTTCATGTAAAGGCGTTCCCGACGGAAAACTGCCTTACTCCTCTCGCTCCGACTTTCCTTGCTTGCGGACCCTTTTGTCTCGAATTTCTGACTCCTCCGTGTTCCCTAACCTGCTAATTCTATTGACGATGACTATCCCGCTTGCGCGTGCGCGACATGCGGCGGCAAGGGTAACTTCTTCCTTCGGAAATACGTGACGGCCGCACTGCGGGGTAATTGCTCAATGGGCTCCCACGTCGCGTCCTCGAGCGTATAACCGTACCATTCCACCTTGAGAATCAAATTACCATTTTGATAATCGTGGTCGACGACCCGGTCGATTACGTATTCCGTGTTTTCCGTTTCCTCTCCTTTCTCTGAACTGTTTCCTTCCCCCTTCTGAAGATCTTCCAACTCATCCTCTTCTCTGGACTTTCCGAACTCGCGTACGTCTGGAGGTGTCTCCGCTGTCGGCGTTTGACTAACTAAATTATCCTGGTCCCCTGACGTAGGCGCACGGGTGTGAGGACGTTCCTCGTCCTCCATTACCTCTCCTTCTTCGTTTAACTCCGGCTCTCCCAGGAACTGTAGCGCTTGGCGTAGGCCAGTTATCGGCGCATAGTCCATCGGGCTTGGGGCTAACTCCACCCTTTCTCGCGATACGCGTTCCTCCTGATCGCCAATGGCAATGACTACCGTATGTTGATCCGATCTTCTGACCTGATAAGGTCCTGTGGCGACTTGTGCCAGCTTGTGTTTCGGTTCGCTAGCCGTGCCCTGCTCCTTCCGGAGGAACACGTAGGACCCCGGTGGGATCTCATATTGCGGTTTGCGAAGGCATGCGTCGAAATTGCGCTTGTACCGGGCTTGTTCCTTCCGCAAACTCCTATCGGCGCTTCTCATTAGGCTCTCCAACCACGACTGCCATTTCAGGTAGTATGCTCTTGACGAGCTGAAGTTCTCCAAAGTTGGCTGCGCTTGTAACGCAATGCTTCTCGGCGCCCGAGCTAACACCAGCTCGAAGGGCGCAATGTTCGTAGTTCGATGAACTTGCGTGTTGTAGGCGAACGTCACAGCGTCGCTAAATAGGTCCCAGTCCTTCGGATGTTCTCCAACCTATTTTCGCAACGCGGAAGTCAGCGTGCGGTTAAACCTCCCAACTTGGCCGTTGGCCTGGGGGTGATACGTCGTCGTGAAGACGTTGCGTATGCCCAAAAATTGACAGATGTTTTGAAAGAACCGGGCCGTGAACTGCGTCCCGTTGTCGGACAGCAGCTTCACAGGGGGTCCAGATAAGAATATCCAATGGTGCACAAAAGCTTGCGCTATGTGTGCCGCGGTAATGTTCTTGAGTGGTACGGTTCGTACCAATTTTGAGTATCGGTCGCTGATCACGAGGATGTAGCGGTTTCCTCTTTTCGTTGTGATTAATTCTCCGAGGATGTCGATAGCGACAAATTACAGCGGAGCCTTGGGTGTGAACAACTTCATTTGTTTCGTAATCTTCCGTAATTTCACCCTTTCTCTGGCGCAATCTGGGCAAATCCTTGCTACAGCGTAGCAATCCAGGGCCATCGTAGGCCAATAAAATGATCTTCTCAACATCTTATGTAGCTTCCTGCTGCCTGGGTGTCCTGCCAATTTGGCATAATGGCTCAGCCCTAGGACTCGGTCCTTCAGTAACTGCGGTATCACTGCCTGTACGAACTCAGCCGCGTCTCGGCATAAAGTTCCTTCGAATTCTCCAGCTTCCGTTGTGAACGTTCTTGTCTTTCCAGCGTCTATTTCCTCCTTGATCCGGGTACAGAAAGGGTCGACGGCTTGCTCGCGAATGAGCTCCTCCGGAGTGACAGCTTGGAATTGATCGAGGCGATCAGGGGCGGTCCCCCCTCAAGAGCGAGGATGTCTTCTAACGCGTCAAAACTGTCCTCGTCCTTCACTGTACCCTCGGCCGGTTCGGCCATAAAGCATGGGATTTCGTCGTCGATTTCGTCGACGGTTTCTCCTGCGGTCCGTAATCTTGACTGGGCATCAGCTTGACTATTCGCCTTGCCCTTCTTGTACTTGATTTCAAAATCAAATTCTGAGAGGCGGAGCCTCCATCGGATTAATCTCCCGCTGTGGTCGGTTACGTTCATCAACGACCTCAATGAGCCATGGTCGGTATGCACAATGAAGTGCTCCCCATATAGATATGGTTTCAAAGTCTGTACGGCCCAAATTACCGCTAGACATTCTTTTTCTGATACGGAATAGTTTCTCTCTGCTGCGGCTAACGTTATTGAAAAGAACCCGATGGGTTAGCGTTGCCCATCCGGGTGCGTTTGAAATAATGCAGCGCCGATTTGATAGTCGCTTGCATCGGTATCTACCGAGTAGGGTAGGTCCTTCTTCGGCAGCGCCAACACCGGCAGTGCCAAGATGGCGTCCTTGAGCTTATGAAAAGCTTTCTTGCACGGTTCGTCGAATCCTTCCAACTGGACCGGTTGTCCTTTCTTCAGTAGTTGGTTTAGAGGCTGCGCAATTTTCGCATAATGCGGAACGAACCTGCGGTAGACATCACTTGTAAGTCATATAGTCAATTTTGTTACTAATATAATAGTATGCATCGCCTATGATGCTGACTTTGGAACAATGATTCAGTAATGCTGGCGATTATCATAGTGGTCGGAATGATTCCAAAATCAATCCTAAAATTTTGGGGATTCTCAATAAGAGTAGTATTTTCTCACTCTTTTTGTCATTGCAGCAGAGTAAGATATATATTTTTAAAAACGCAAATTTCTCGCATCAGACGTTCAATTGAATGTTCTGTGATGTGATGCGAAATGTCACGTAGCCAGCCTATCTTATGAAATGTCTGGTCATCGATTTCATGATGCACTGCGTTGACGCTTGGAGCGCACTGTGTCATAGATTGTATGGTACCAGAGAACATTTGAGTGAACTGAAGCTGTCCATTATACCATTATGACCCAATAATGATGCAAAATGGCAAAGTTGTCATCCAAACAATGTGCATTATTAATTCTTAAACGTAGCCAGGCAGTCTGAATGGACATCCAGGGCACTTAGTGCTCATGATTCAGATTGATTACTTTATTGCTTCAGTTTTTAGTGTCGTACCTTTTCAGTGAGGTCGTGGTGCTGTTTCATTCATTTGATATTGCGGAGTTCTCGGCGACTTTAGTAGCGGTGAGTGTGACTAATTTTACTGAATGACCACATTACCATAAATTGTTCTGGGGCTTGTAAAAAACTCATCCAGTCCCAATACCCCACCATTTTTCACAACCCATTTCAACGATCTTTGTATCCCGTGCCTCACCGAGCCTCGCCAGAAACATTACGAAGAGGCCCTGCCTACCGCAGATACCTTGCTCCCAGCGGGACCCATCTCCGGCCCACACTCGTCTTGCGTACGCGTTCATCCCGCCCCTCCCCTCTGCACAACCTGACCCCCGCCACCACCCTCAACGAAGCTGCCCTCCGGGCAGTTCATCCAAACCCTCCAACCACTCGGCCAATGCCTCAAACCGCGCCCCGAGACCCTCTAAATCACCACCTCGCCCCTTCCCCATTCCGATGACCCCCTTTCAACCCTCACAGTCAGCGAGGCTGCCGCCCTCCCCCACGACCGTCGCGATGCCGCCTGCATCCACACGGAGTCCCACTTCTCATTATCACGCTCACATCCGCCTTCCCCTCCCCCATCGCGTCGACTGCAGTCGACAAGCTCATGCACTTCCAGACCGACGGCATCCTCCTCGCCGACATCCTCGCAACCCTCTCCCCCACCCGCTTCTCTCTGAATTCCATCCTCTGCGTGGCCCCCCGAAACGCCCTTTTCTCCCCCTCCGACGCCCACCCCTCCTCAAATGCCGACGGCCGCCAAAGGCACGTCCAGTACAACTCTAACTCCCGCCGCGTCCTCCGTGACGGAACGGTCCTAGGCGTCGGCGACAACTTTACCGCAAAACACACCTGTAGTCCTGTCCATCCGAGATTTCCGCCCAGCCCAGAAGATCGCCCAGCTCGTCCTTGCCGCTTCCGTCTACCTACGGCCCAGACCCCTCCTTCCGCGCTATTTTCTGGCAGCTCCCCTCCAACAGCCTCAGCAACACCTTCCACATTGTCTCACCTCCGTCTCCCAGGCCGTGGACCTGCCCCAGCAGCACACCCTCTCCAGTGCCTCTCTCCCAGAACAAGGTGTACTTCCTCTTGATGTCCTCCACGTCTACCTATATCCTCTTTCTTTTCGACCAAACGAGTCCTGAAGAGGTGATTAGATACATGGCGTATCTCAGAGAGGTATCCAGATCTATACGCGTGAGAAGGTTTAGTCCGTTTTCCATGATCTCCACGTCTTCGCTGCGTAGCTGCAAGATCTTTCGAATGTCGTTCTCGTTGAATGGTTTGGTAGTAATAAGCAACCTATCCAACAAGTCCAGTGGAATGCCATGTGGCGACTTGTATGTGGTCCCCCTGATACGAGTGATTCCGCGGTTCGACGCCACCACAAGGACTGGGGCGAGGTCCGACTCGAGAGCTCTGTTCATGAAGTAAAAGCAGTCAATATCAAGCATATGCACCTCGTCAATGAAAAGAACGCCCTGCACAATTTTCGCTTTCCCCTCTTCCCTCCCCTCCGCAACCTTGACGTCGATCTGCTCCCTCACCCCCGATTTAATCTCACCAGTGTCACCAGCGAATAATGCTAACAAACCTTACTGCCGTGAATTGATGACATCAATTTAGTGCAGAGAGACGACGGGCACAACCTCTTTCCGTCGCTGCAACTCGCCCGAGCTTTGATATATTTCCCGTTGCCATATCAATAGTAATGGCATCAAAACTTGTAACTGTCTCCTTCCGCAACGAGTCAATCATCTTGGTACCCAAGTCATACACCCTCTCCATCTCCGTGGTCTTCAACGTAAGCTTGCCACTCTTCGCCATCCGTGCAGCTGACGACCTCGGGAGCGGCATATCAATTTGAATCTCCACAACCTCGCCTTCGATATGCTCTGTTTCCTCCTTAATTCTAACACCGATGCTCTTCCCCAGGGCCTGCGTGAGGGCCTCGGTCCTGGACATCTTGAGCGAGAAGATCTCGCTGACGGCGATCTTGGTGAAGAGCGTCTCTGGGGCGAGCCTGGGCCATACCCATGGCGATGGCGGTCTTCCCCGTGCCGGGCTGGCCCGCGATGGGGACGGCGCAGCCCGCGATCCTGCCCTGCTCGATGATGACAACGACCACGCTGCGGCCTTGCGTGCCTCCACCTGCCCCACCAGCCCCTGCCCGCTCGGGGACCGCATTAAGGTTCTCGTTCAGCCTCAGGCTGCGGATGTGCGAGTGCTCGCATTTGCTGGTGATCACAAAAGTCAAACTGATGCGTTCCCCAGAGCAAAATAGTACTGTCCCAGCGTTCGAGACGAAGATTCCATCCGCACGAATCATAATATCTCCCTTTCGTAACATCCGATTCGCTTCGCAAATCTCTGCAACCCACTTGACTAAAATCCCAGACTGATCCTTGGCCATTCCAAGAGATCTCCTCAAATGATGGTTTTCCATTCTTTGCCAGCGAAATATGCAAAATGAGAACCCCGCATATTGACCATGACAGGCTATGTGGTCGAGAAAATGCTGCAGTACGCAGTATGGAATGAGGTAGCCCACGGAATCAGCTTGAAAGGGGTCCACGCTTTGAAAAGCAATTCCTGAATAGCCGAACAAAACCCATCGCGTGTCAGTCAGGATGATCATGTACACTTGACGCAATCGATCCATTGCGTTTCAACGGTAACGGTTCGAAAGATTTGGGACACGCACCTACAACCTCACGGTTTCATTTATCACCGGGGCGCCACTGTTTCCTGGATTAAAAGACGGGAACATATTATTGGCAAACATCCAAAATGGTCCCCAAAGGAAATAGAAAGGCATTAGTAAGAAAGCCGAAGCAATAACTCATTGAAAAATCAAGTACTATGGAAACGGATAGACTTACCGCCGTGTCAATATGTACTGCAAGCAGGTCTCCTTGGCCATGCACATAGTTTTGCTTTTCGAAACGGCTGATTTGATTCCCGGAGCCTATAACGAGAACTGAATCTTGGAGCTGCGGCAAAGAGCCGGGTTGAAGGAAGGCATGTTTTGTATTATCCATGCCGACTTGATCTTCTAAATCGTCCCAGAAGTCCTCGCTTTCAACGTACAATTGAGCTATATCGCACTCATTGCCGATGGCGACAACCCTTGCCGGGGCCTTTGTGTCACAGTATCGTTTTGTTACTACGACTGAAGTGTAATGGTCGACGGAGCGCGTGTTTGTCAGAATGCGACGTCCAAAAGAAATGACAAAGGCCGAAGACGTTGATTGTGGCTGCGGTGTCATGACGCAGGGCAACTCGTAGTTTGGTTCGCAATGAGTACAAAAAAAGGTGAGAACGCAATCCAAAATGTCAGGACTTGAATCCGGCATATGCGGCTCTAGGATTAGTTAGGACGAGGACGCTTGACCAAGTGGCGGTGCCCTTCTATGGTGGGGGCGGCTAAAGAGAGGGGACAAGAGGTATGGCCAGCATAAAAGCAGCGCTCATGGCGAGCAGTCTTTGGGAGAGAGGAGGTTGCTACAAGGACTGCAAAGACCGGGTTTTGATTGCGATAGAGATGAAAGTGGGAGGCGGAATGGCAAATTGGAGGCAAAACGAGTGAATAGTGTGATAGAGCTGAGAAATACTCGCCCGACTTTCCAGTAAGTCCGTCATGCAAGGATTCGATGATGCTTGAGACAAGGAAGCGATGAGGACGGAAGTGGTGCTCCGACGGTGCGAGTGAGCACTTGCCATACGGTGGGTGGGAGATCGACCTTTGCCCTCACCCCCGGCGTCGTGTACAGTGCACTCCGAGTAGATGTAGTGACACGTATTACACATGCCCGCATGTCACAAATTTCCGGTTGCGCATGTTGTTGAAACGGTATCAGCTCCAAACCTCACGTAGTGGTAGTCCATGCGTTCGACCTGTATCCCGACCAAGGCCTTTTTCTATCAGCCGGTTGCGCTTGGACGCTCGGATTTTTGATTTTCTGACCTGAATATTTCTCCCATTTTACTTTCCGTGTTTCTGCTTCTGTCGATAGCCAAGATTCCCAGATCTCTGATTTCGCCACTGCCACCACCACATATCCCTCTCCATCGATCCAAGGTTCCTTCTCTTCGGTACCTATCAGGGAATACACACAGATCTGCTTTTGTTTCTTCCATTTGGAAATCTACACGGATACTGGTTGCTTCTTCTACACTTGCTTATCAGCGGAGAATCTGACGGGGCGATTTGGGGGTTTCCGCACGGTCATAATCAATAACTGGAATGCGCGAGCTAAGGGAAGGGGACTCCATTGAAGTTCTCTGGATTCTTGACGTTACTGTGGAGAGTGGAAGGAGGAAAGGTCAGAACAACAAAAAGGACGTTTGGTGGAGGGGGAAAGTGAGTGTAGTTGGGAGGCGAAGAGGCGAGTTCGTTGCCCTCGTGCAGTATGATGCAGGCTACGGCATGGGTGATCTGGTGTGAGCGCACGCTTCATGAAAAACAAATTGCAGCATAAGCAATATGACGGAACGCTACTGTGCATGCAACAATGGCGGTATTACAAACGAGATTTCTCCGAGTGTGATGATGGAATCTCGAGTTCGGACGATGATTACAGCGCCCTCGAGGCCTCCTGCACGAAGCGGAACTGCTTTACTAGTCTATGTGAATATACCAGAACTGCATCTCGTGTAGCATCTCTGGAACTGAGAGTGGATGAGATTCAAAGGCTTCTGAGTGCTCAAAGCGGCATTTATTCCAGATTACTGCGGTATAAGACCGAAAGTGATGTCATTTCTGACCGGGATTTTGGATTCTTAAGGCAAAGAATGGCAAATGCATGCCAGAGAGCTATTCAACTTGCACGAATTCGAACTGCAGTCACGGATGTCGTCGCGCAGGAAGGAAGACATATTGGTATGTGCTTCACAAGAGCTTTACGGGCAGATACGGGCTGCACTCTTGCTGAAATGGAACAAATATGCCGCGTGTTCAGAATGCGGACTCCCACGGCAACATTTTACCCAACCTACGAGGAAACCCAGTCTCCTCGCTCCGACATAGAAACAATAACGATATTGTTTGATTCTCTCGGCTGTCTTGGTAAATGCATCGGTTTCACAAGTGTCTCTGATCTACAGTACTTCATGGTGAAGGGAAGAAAAATGAGGCGCATGGAAGTGTCTGACCAGAGCGCCTTTCGGCTGCTAGGGGGGACTTTGGCTGAAAAATCCATGTTCATTTTTCGAGTTGCGGGAAGTCAAGTTTGCACAGCCACAGACAAAATGTGCGAGCTACTTTTCCAGGAGAACATGTGTTTCGATCGACGAAACAGAACGTACGCTAACAGACTAGAAAAAAAGTATGATGCTTTCTGACGCCTTGAAGATCTCCAAGGTTGCCTATCACGGGAACAGGATACCAGAAAATCTGGGAGACCGTGCATTTCATTTGCTGTGGCATCGGACATCCGCGGGAAAAACAAAACAGCTTTCTAAGACGTTGACAGATCCTGATGAGGCACTGGGCTGTTTAGAGATGAGCTGGCCTTCATTAGTGGTACTGGGTAAGCATATCATAGAGGAATTTCAAAGAACAGTAACCCAGAACATGGTGAAGAGAACCATAGAATGAAAAGGATTGAAGTTATGCCAATGTAAAAACGTCAATGGCCAGCCAGGCACGTCGCAAACGCTCACCTCATCTCTTTGTGTCGAATCTGACTGCCCTCCGCCATCCTGCTCTCATCAATCCAAACACACATCTTTTCCTCACCCACAAATGTCTACCCTCAGTCCCCGCGCCACCCCTTCACATCCAAACAACACCCCCAACCGCCCCTACGTAAGAACGAAAGGCGCCTTTGATGGCATCCAAAAACATGAATGGCATGGTCACATTACTTTACTTACTTATCAACGTACACAAATGGCTAACTCTCTCGATAGCGGACTGGCCGTTTCCCACAATTCTATCGGCTGTGAGATATGCATAATTTACCCCATTCGTGGAGGGTATCCTTGCCGCTTTGTAAGATAATAGAACCTTTCGCCTGAAAGAAGTCCAGCTGCGTGCGTTATCACGCCGACATTTTCACTGATGTGACAGTGGGTCTCTGGTGAAGACATAGAACACGCATGTATCAGCCCAACCCTTCTCACATTTCCAGTCAGTCTTAGTAAGGTTAATGGTGTACCAGGGGGAACGTGTAAGGTTCTATCCTCATGTAATGTGCATTTTCGCACAAAAACGAATGGAGAACTCTCGATACAATATTCTCCAGCACCAGACTGGTGGTCCTTCCAAGATACAAATGCCTCGACAGCAAAAACAACAAGTATGTAATTGTCCGGACTGCCCTCCATTTCAAGAAAACTCGGCTGCTCCTCGAGTAGGTCTCCTGTCATGTCATGACGAACAAGCGATTGAATGGCGTTTCCTACACGAATACAATCGTGAAGATATGAATGCCCAGATGTGCTCGACCTAAATATGTTTTGTTTAAACCGGCGCGCCTTCTTGAAGAATGTTACTTTGCGCTCGCCATCGAATTGGAGAATAACTGACTGATTGAGCAACTTCATCATACCTGTATGCGACGTCGATGTCTTTTCTGTACCGTTCAGAACCCACTTAGAATGTGACCAATCACCACGCGGACCGGGCGATGTTTTTCCTACCAGCTTACGCAACAACGGCTTGATTAGTAAGTCCTCTGTCAGCTGGCTTTCGAATGAGGTAGTGTCTAGATGTTCCGATGGAGTACTTTTCTGACCGGTCAAGAATGTACAGAAGTCGTTTTTATGTTCCTGTGATAAGGGGTTCTCCACTATCATTTCTGTTAGTGCCGCAAGACGGTCTTGCCAGTTGTCAGAAAGTGCATGCTGTACTGCTTGTAAATGGGGATTTCTTCTGTTAGAACGGGAAATGCCTCGCTTTAATGGCTGATGGGCAAACTCAAAGACGAGTTCACCAAAATGGCGCACATGACCCATCGCCGCAACTGAGTGAGTATACAACTCGATTAGCCTGTGCAAGTTTGGTTTGTCTATGTTCTTCTTTGCTAGTTCAGACTGACCACAAAGCTTATTGCACAAGGAAACGTACTGACGAGACATGTCCTGTAGCTCAACGGTACTCGCCCGACCACGATCAGAGTTGAACAGCCTCACCGCCTCTTTCCCGTCGATAAGAAGGCTTGGATACCAATACGTTTTTGTTACTAGGGCTGAATAAAGTTGTAGGCATTTTACAGCATGTAGAAGCGTACTTGATTGTTCATCATTCTGCCCTGCTCCACAATCCATGTTTTCACTGCAAAAGTCCTGAAGAACTTTGTCGGCAAGGACAAGTGTGCAGAACACGCCGCTGATCGACGTGGAAAAGAGCTTCTTACCCTTGAAATCAAACAATTTGTTTTGAATCACAAGATTGTTTGCTCGGAGCGCCTCGCGAACCCGTGACTCAACGTGTCGAACAGCTTCTTCATCATGAAGTATCATGAAGCAAGTTGTTACAATATTGATAGCGTTACCAGACAGCAACTGGTCAGGTGCCACCAAAACGGAACGGTAAGGGTCGAACATGGCATTAAAGATTGGATGGCCGCAACTTGCGATCGGTATTTTACCGCTGGACTGTGCACGCGTCAGTTTCTGATATAGCAACAGCAAAGGACTACCAGAAACCTTGCGGGATGATTCTTGCTCCATACCAAGGTGATGTAATAGCGAAGAAAATTCCCTCTCATTTATGTTCGCCCCACGAATGGCATCTGTTCGTGGACCTGAACGAAAGCTGCAAGAATCTGCGCTGTGCTCTTCGGTGGTAAAGCCATGACGAGACTGTGCTAGATCAAGTTTCTGAACTCTAAAAGAACAAAGATGACAGGCTGCATCAGCATTGTGGCCGAGCAAGTCTGAAACATGGGCAATTTCGAGAAAATCAGCAACATATGCCACGACTTGGATGAAAACGGTGATTGCAATCCGGCTCCATCAACAGTTTTAATACCGTCGGTTGCTGCAGTCTCGAGATCTTCTGATATGATGCGCAAAAATTCACTGGATTCTACTCCCGGGGGAGTGAGTCCGAGCAACCTGACCGACTTGCGGCCAGTGCGATGCCTTGGTAGTAAGTTGAGGGGAAGCATGTATATTCCTCCTGCAGAACCTTGTTTCTCCTTGTATTGAGAGAACCCGTCCGAGTACAGTAGTATTCTGTACACAAAGAAACGACTACCATCCAGCAGCGTACCAGTAGACTTGTCACATGGGCATTGAAATTCATCGACATAACTTCTAACTCCTATTGTGCCTATATCAAGTACGTCTTCATGCGATGAGTTACAATATGGGCCACTCTGTTGCTTTGCATTTAATACAACGTCAG